TCGGCCACCTCCTGTAGCCATGGTGTTCACCTCCAGTGGCAGGCCATACTATCTGCTCAGACTGCAGGCCTCACTGAGGGGCATGATGGGGCCTTATCTTGACAGTATCAAGACTACAGGGAATGTCCGACCAGTCGAGGGACCTTGCCTTCACCTGGAGGAGAGAGGGAAAACAAAGGGTCAGGGCCACTGACAAGTCCCTCAGGATACAGTTGAGCAGTCTGAGGCTAAGGGCAGGACTGGCCCAAAATCACTGGTGGGAAAGGCATGGGGAAAGATGTACCCCTGTTGGCTAGCACACCACTGTTGAGTCCCTTCTGGGGTGGGAAAGAAAGCAGATTACCAAATACTCAGGCAAATTCCCCTCTTCCTCTAGGGCCTGAGAGATTCTCCTCTCACCCCCTGCCTTCACCTAACACATCCGCCCCGGCCAAATCTAGGTATAGGTGGTAGGTTAGTTGACTAAGACACTCCACCCTTCCCTTCCTCTCAACAATCCTCATTCTGGTGCTTTGCATGAATGGAGTCCTACTGTACCCTCCCCTTACTAGCCTGCAGTGGGTGTCCCACCTGCTGCCAGGGATCAGACTCCAGCGTATACTTAACCACCCTTTTGGAAGCCATTCCATAGAGATCATCCATTCCCACCAGCAAAAGGCCAAGATCAGGGCGTTTGGGACTAAGGAAAGGAGGAGATGGACGCCAGAGCCCCATATTCCCCCTTAAGGTCTACTATCAGGGGGTTCTCTGTGCCAGGTTCCCACAGGCCAGTCTCCTTGGTGTCCAGAAGTAGGGGAAGGGGATTGATTTGGGGATCCCATGACCATAGGACTGACCATAGGACTCTAGACTCCCATAGTCCAGGGCGTTTCCAGTAGGAATGAGCAGCTGGACTTCCAAGTACCCTCACAGCAGATCCCCAAGTTCCTCAGCCTTTCCTTTCCCGTGGGGGCCACGCTCCTGAGACCCTTGGCGTGATGGCCTCCTGGCCCCAAACTTCCAGCTCGCGCGAGGTGGGGGGCGGGTCCAGACGAGCGCGCTTGGGGCTCTGCGCCCAGCGCCCCAAACTTCCCCTGAGCACGGCTCCTGCGGGACTCACCGGCCGGGGCTCCGGCGCCTCCGGGACGCGGGGTCCGCCGTTCCGGCTCCGTGCCGGCTCTGGCTGGGGCTGAGGCCAGCCTCCGCGGGGCTCCGGCGGGGCTCTGGCTCGGCTCGGCGCGGGGCGGGGCTGGACCGGGTCCGCCCCTCGTCCCCCCTCCCGACTCGGGAAAATCTCCCCCCGCCTTAACCCTGCACCTGCCGTGGCCAGAGCAGGGCGCGTCGACCCACAGTCACACGCAAACCGGCAAACAGACAAATGGACATGTGGACGCGGGGCCTGCCCACGATTTAGGGTCCGACCTGGGGCGAGAGGAGAAAAGAAGCATCAGTGAGCAGCACAACACGTGTATGGTGGGGAATCGTTCTGAGTGGTACCCAGCCCGGGGAGCACCCGCGGGGGAGGGGGCGGGGGCGGGCTAGCAGAACCAGCAGGCTTGGGGGGCCGGCGTCCGCCCACCGGCCCTAAGCTCCTAGGAGCCCAAAGACTGGCTTCGCGGCGGCGCCCCCTGGAGGCCGTTTGGGGCGTGGCGTGGGCCTTTGGTGGGGTCGGCGGCTGGGTCGCACTTCTCCAGGCACACAGCAGGGCGCTGAATAGGTCCTACCGTGAACATTGAGGCTAGCAGGGAATGGAGGAGCAGACAGTGCCGGCCTCAGTGCTTGAGAGGTCCTTCCACAGGCCTGAATGGGGAAAGCTCTTGTGGGGAAAGTAGCTCTGAGTAAGGAATGAGCTTCAAGAGTCAGAGACCAGGCAGGTCACTCTGTAGGGCCTGAGGCCTGGGCTACTCTGGTACCCAAGACATTTTGTGACTGTTCATAGCAAGTTGGTGTGACAGAGGCCTATTTATTTCAAACCCGGACCCTGGCCCAACCTATCTTCTGAGCATGCAGAGTTTTGAGCTGGGAGACCATTCGTGCAGGTTGGTGGTCACCCAGGAGAAGAAATCCTTGTGGTTGTCTGTGCTCGCTACTGTCTTGTCCCTCTTTCATGGACAGTGTGTGTCTCACTTTCCCCAGAAGCACATCAGGAGATAAAGATATCAGTATATATAGTTAATGTGGGAGATGAGGCCAGGAAGCACTAGCAGAGGAGTGGCAAAAAGAGAAAGCAGCCAATAAAGGGTGTGTCACCAAACAAGCAACCACTGTTGGCAACTGGGACCAAATCTTGCTGAGTTCCCTCCCAGAGCAAAGGTTGCTTGAGGTATTCATTCTCAAATTTCCATCAGTCATGGGTTGAGATCTGCTTGAGGGGGCATTAAGTCCTTGGTTTGCCAAACTTGTAAAGCCTGCCCTGAGTGTGGGCAGAGCCTTCTTCATGACTAGAGAGAGGGTCCAGCCCCTTTCACAGGCTGGCAGTTGGAGTTGGAAGGACTACATGGAAATGGTAGTCTTAAGGCTGGTTTTAGAACTTGACTAGGCAGCTCCCATCCTCTCACTGCATTCTGCCTTTGACTTGCTCTTTACTTAGGGCACCGGTACATTTCTCCACAGGGTGTTCACACTGCCCTGCAGAACCCTCACATTTTCCACTATCCCCTTTCCAGGCCCTTTCCCCCTCTCCATTCCAGTAATTAAGCACTTAAAAGCCTCCTACTTTAAGATATTTCCCAGTACCCCAAGTCCCTCCACCCTTCCCTTCTTCCCCTCCAATCTGCTACGTTATGTCCACTGCTCCCCCCAAATCGCTCTTGTCAAAGTCTCTATAGAACATCATATAGCTAAAAATACAGGTCCCTATGGTCTTTGTCTCAAATGAAATTTTGCTGACATCTTCAGAGTTTCATTCCTTGTGACCTTGGCACCTCTGCTCCTGCTTGTGCTGCTTCTCAGAGTCTTTTACAGGCCCTGGTTCCTCTTCTTCCATGAAAGTGGCTCCTCAAGATCCAGCCCTGGCTTTTCTCCTTGTCACACAGACTCCCTCCTTGGGTGATCCTTCCCAGACACACTGGCCTCACCCACAACTAGATATCCACCTGATCAAAGATCTGGTGGTCTTTGAGAAATATTTGAGAAATAGGTCTAGGACCCATCACTCAGGGTTGTAAAAAATGTCAAACGGAGAGCAATGGCTGGACCCTGGGACAACCTTGTGGTCTCTATCAACCTCATCCTGTCTGATCCCAGTTAGGCCTACAGGGTCAGCATCCACCAAAATCCAGGTCAAGTTACACTTTGCTCTGATGAATGCTCCCCAGAGTTCCATCTGGGACATACTGAGCACCAAGAGGCAGAAGGGTCAGCTTCCTCTCAGGGCACTAAGGACCCCTAACCCTGACCCCTAACCCTTACTATCCCCCAGTTCTAATCTCTTCAAGGGATACAGACTGGGGATGGACCTACCCTGCCAAGTCCTCCATTTTGCACTGAACTCTGGGCTGGTCATCACCAGAGAGGACTTCCCCTTTCCAGGACACACCTAAGTCCATGCCATCCCTAAAGGCTGAGCTCTGCCTCTTCATGGGACTGGTTTCTGTTTACACAGTCCTGGCACCACCTACACACAGGGGACCAACACTGCTGACTTTGGAGAAGCTGTGAAAGACAACTGGGCAGAAGGTGAGGCTGGATTGGTCCTGAGAGTAGCAGCTAATTCTCAACCATGGATGGGGCAGAGACAGGGCTCACCCACAGTTGGGGACTAGGCATAGTAAGGTGGGACTTCCTGATTGTACCAGGAGACCCTGGCTCTTGGGACTCCACCATTCCCCTTTTTCTAACAGAATAAGGGGCTAGAAGCACTGACCCCAAAAGAGCAGGAGAGTTTGCATTTACTATTGCACACTTTGGCTATGCCTTAAGGCACTGAGGGCCTTACCATGAGTGCTGAGGTCCTGGAAAGCTCAGAGGTGCCAGCTGAGGCCTAGGGAGGGGTGAGTATTTCCCTTTAAGGGTTCCCAGACCCTTCTATGCCTGAGGATCCTGGGGTCATATGGGGAGGGAGAAAAGCTATTAACCAGTCCCTAAATGAAGCATCTAACTACCCTCTTGTGACTGCCCACAGGCTTCCACCTACTCCCAGCTACTAAACTTAGCATCATTGTACATGTCAGGGTCCAAGAGTTGTAGCAAATTTCTGTCTCTTAGCTCAAGCTCTGACTGAAGTGTCCCCACTATCTCATCCATGAAACCAGAACTTCCATGCTGGCTCCCAACCTGGACTTGGGGAAACCCTGACTAAGAGAGGCCTTTGGTCAGAGACTGACCTCTTAGACTCCTAGAGTTAATTTTGGCCTATGTCCTCTCATCTGGTGCTGCTTGGGCAGTGGGCCCTGTAACCACCACCTCTCTGCTGGCCCCAGTGTACAGGTAGCAAGACTGAGGTCCCAGTCTCCTAGGCAAAAGGACAGGGATTCTGGGAGGTAGGACTTCATGCCATTGACAGGGCTGAGGATGGGCAAGGATTCTCCCACCATACCTATGCACGTGTTCTTAGACAAGTATCCTCAGGCCCACATTGGTATGCTAGAACTCTCAGATCGTACATGCCCAGTATTGGGCTTGTGTGCAGCATGTGTGTGCACACCAGCACCAGACTTTCATGGCACATGCACGTCTCATTCTTAAGAAGAGAGGAGGGCCTGTTGCCCTCAGAGGAGATACCCCTGCAACACTTCCAGGGAGGCAGGGGGCACTCCTCTTTCCCTCAGGTCGGGAGCTTGGGACTAAGCAGGCCTTGTCCATGGGCTCTGAGGGCACCTCTGCTCTTCAGACTCCTGCACAGGACTGGATGGATTTAGAGCGGTCCCCGCAGCCACCTCCTCCAGGAAGCCTTCCTAGGTACCCACCTGTCCCGCCCCCACACTTTGGGGGAAACGGGGTCTCGGGGGGTCAAGGGTCACTAGGGCGGACCAGGTCCCGGAAGCGGAAGCGCGGCGCACTTCCGGTGCGCAGCGGGCGGCCATGTTGGAGCAGCGGAGGCGGCGCAGAGGCGCGTCCTGGGTCCCCGCGGCGGCGCCGGTAGGTTGGGGCCATGGGCCTAGCCGCGCCGCGGAGGGGCCGTCCGCGAGGCGACAGGGCGGATGGGCCGGGCGGTCGGCCCTTTCGGGACCCGCGCCCTCCACTGGCCCGGCCAAGATCCTCCCCCAACCCCCACCCCTGCCCAGCGACCCCACCCTGGGGCTGCGCGACCCGGTCGGGTTTGCCCCGCCTGTCCCGCGCGTTTCGCTGCCTCCAAGAGCCCCGCTCGGGCCTCAGGGACACGGACTCCCAGGCCAGTGGCCCTGATCTGCCCCCAACCTGGTGCTCTTTGGATGAGGTCTCTCCTGTCTCCCATCTTTCATCAACTTCCCTGTCGGCCCCCGGGGCACTTGTGAAGGGAAGTCGGGGGGCCCAGACTGCAGCCTCTGTGTCCGGAGCCTCTTGGAAAACCCAGAAGACCCCTCCCAAGAGTCTAGACCGACCTGGGCGGAAGAGCCTCCAGTTCACCCCCCAATATCTGTGCCTGCGGGGAAACAGGCCCCTCCCTATTCTACAGTTCACAGCCCTAAGAACTACATCCCCTGGAAAGAAAAAAATAAAAGTAAAGTCATGTGCAAGGATTGTGCTTGGAGAATGGCCTCTGGAGAGAGGAAGTGCCCGAGACACCTGAGGATCCAAGAATGTTTCCAAACAAAGAGCCCCAGGGCACTTCCTCCAGGGGATTCTGAAAACTTCCTCTGCTCCATTAGGGCGGTAGGAAGAAGCTGCACAGACGCGCCTCCAGGGACCTGCCTGGTCCCAGCTGATCTTTTAATGCTCTGGTACAGCTGGGATCAGGCTCCCTCCCTCCGGGAGCCCTCAGTGCTGGGTTGGGCATTAGACATTAGTCATGACTGATGGCCTACGGCTTTTTCAGAGAAGCCTGGGACAATTTGGGTGTTACCAAACAGCTCCATCGGGGCTGTACTGAGGTCTGCAGCCCTCCAGACCCTAGTTAGGACAACTCAAATTTCTAGTGTCCAACTTATTAACCATCCTGTTTGAGCCTTTGGCTGTCAGACCTTGGGCTCTTCGTCTAGCTGCGTGGCCTAAAGGCTGCCTGATTGCCAAGACTTGTGTCAAGAGTATCTGCTACATTTTAGTTTCTGTTGAAGGAGAGTCTGACTCTTGCTTTGAGGTTAGTTTACATGATTTGAGTGCTAGGAGTCAAGACTTCTGAGCTTGTCTGAGGACTCCAAAAGCAGAACTTATGGTGAACAGGAATGTTCACCCCTGAGCACCTGGATAACAGCAGCTGGAGGAACAGAGAAGGGCATGGACATTGAGTGTAGGTTTGGGCTCTTTGACCAGACTTAAAGGCTCATGTTGCCCTGCTCAGCCGGTTTTACAGCTAGACCTCCCAGCCCTGACCACAGACTCCAGTCACACACATTAAATGTGCCTTACTGTTTCCCATTTCCAAGACATTACATCAGCTCTTCCCCTTTTTGCTCCATTTCCATCTAGTCCTTTCTGTTCATCACTCATGTCCCACCTTGGTATTGCCTCTCCTAGGAATCCTTCCCTGACCTAGTGGAAGGCTGAACTGGGTGTCAGTGTGCACTCCCAAGAACTTTCATGGTTTCTGTCTTGCCTTGTGTACAGGACTCTTTGAAGATGGATATTCATCTGTGTTCCCAGGGTTGAGTTTAATACCAGGTTTCTGGCCTCAGAAAATAGAGATTGAATTAAAATGGGCCAACCAAGCCCAAATTTCCTAGGGACTCAACAGAATGTTGGATGGCTCTGATGAGCTTCTGGACATTTATCTCAAAACTGCCTCTGACCCATGTGGGCCCCTCCTGCCACCACAGGCCTCACCCTGCCACTATAGTAGGTCAGGAGACCAGGGCTTTGCCCCAAGCAGTGGCTCACTGTGGCCAGACCCCTCTGTATTGATAGTTGTGATCCAGGGGAATACAGGCTCTGATAGACTTATTGTCTACCTTTGTCCCTTATCTCAGTGCTCATTTTTTTTTTTAAGTTTCGTTAATTATTTTGAGACCGGGAACCAGCGGGGGAGGGGCAGAGAGGAAGACAGAGGATCCGAACCAGACTACCAGACCACCTTGACAAAAGACAGCCCAATACAGGGCTCAAACTCATGAACTGTGAGATGACTTGAGCCAAAATCAGACACTCAACTTAACTGAGCCACAGGTGCCCCGATCTTTTTTTTTTTTTTTTGATTAATTTAATGATATATTTTCTTTAATGCAATATATCCAAAGTATTATATTTTTAAGTACTCTCTACACCCAACATGGAGCTTGAACTCATCACCCTGAAATCAAGAGTAGCATGCTGTACCAGCTCAGACACCCCTCAGTGCCATTCTTATTGATTCTTTTCCTCTTGTCTTGGAGGTGCCAAGCGCTGGTTTGCGGATACCCAGGCAGATCTGCAGTGCCTAATGCCATGAGCGTGGTGGTGCAGCATGCGGAGGAGAAAGCTGTGCACTCCTGGTCGCGGATCTCCACGGCAGGAAAGAAGGCCCTGGAGGAGGCGCTCCTTGTCTTTAACCCCATGAGCCAGGATCTCAGTGCCACAGAGGCCCAGCTTGTAGCCTTCCTGCAGGGCCTGCGGGATGATGGCTTCCAACCTACCATCCTGCGCAGCGGTGATGTCTATGGCTATAGTTCATGCACAGCCAACCCCCCAAGCCAGACGAAGCTGCAAGCTCGTGCCCCCGCCCCAGCTGCCACATCACCTCCAGCCAGCACCCCCAGAACTGCCATGCGGCTGCCTGCAGGCCGGGCCACGCTGCTTCCTATGCCACTATCTGGAAGGCTGGCCAAAGCATCCACACCAACCCTTGCCAAGCATGCTACCACCAACCTGCTGCTGAGCTCCCTGAAGCAGTCAAGTGCCAGTCGTGCCCGGGGTGCAGCAGTGGGCTTCCCCGCCCACCTCTATCCAGGTGTCTACCCTGCCATGCGGCTCTCTGTTGTCCTTGAGGCCCTGGTTCCACTAAAGACTTCCATGCCCTGCTTGGGTGCCAAGCACAAGGCACAGTCACTACAGCTCTCACTTGCAGACTCTCCCCTGAAGCTGCGCAAAGGCCCAGGGAAGAGGCCAGGGAACTCTCGGCCCAAAGCTCCCAGAAAAGCCACAAGCAAGGGCCCCAAGTGTCTGACTCACAGAGCCCCCAGGGCTAGACCCCAACAAGGCACTAAGCCCCGGAAAAAGACCTGCAAAGCTACTGGGTCCCTCAGTGGCCTACAAATGAAAAGTGGCTCTGCCCTGGGCACCAAAACATCCCAGGCCAAGGCAGCTCGAACACTGGCCAAAGCTGCCCAGGCCAAGGTAGCTCGAACACAGGCCAGAGCTGCCAAGGCCCAGGCAAAAGCCAAGGCAGCACAGATCAGGGCCAAGGCCAAGGCAGCACGGATCAGGGCCAAGGCCAAGGCAGCACGGATCAAGGCCAAAGCCAAGGCCGTGCGGGCCAAGGCCAAGGCAGTGCAGGCCAAGGCCAAGGTGGCTCGGACCCAGTCCAGGAACAGGGGCAGGCCAAAAGGATCTGTTCAGGCCAGGACTGCAAGGAAGGGCCAGAAAAGCCGCCCTGAGACTGTAGGACAGAAGAGGAAAAGGGCTGAGGAGGCAAAGGATCTTCCTCCCCGGAAAAGAACACGACATGGGCCCCGATCCCCTAAGGCATGGCTAGGGCCTGGAACAGCAAAGCTGCTAAAATTCCGGGCCATCAAGGTGGACAGGCGGTCCTCGGATGATGAGGTTCGGCAGCGGGCTCAGCGGATCCTCCGTGTGAACCTGTCCCCTGTAATACAGCTCCAGCCATTGCTGCCATACTCGGCACCCTGATTCCTTCACATAGCAATCTTTGGGAAAACTGAGCCCAGTTGTCTGTGTGACCAGTGGCACAGTGTGCAATGCCCATGGATTCTACAACCCCAAGGACTCCGAGTGCCTCTCCAGGGCCCTGAGAGCCACCATTCTCCTTTCAGAGACTGGAGGATATGGGGTGGTATGGGCGGGTGGGAGGGGTGTTCTCATGGCGCGATGCACTGTGATTTGTTACTCTTCAAGTTGTACCTCCACTGTTCCATCTATCACGTTTTATACCTTTCCACCTTCCAGTCTCCCTGCCCACCCTTCATGGTCTTTTTTGTGTTTGTAGCTGCTGGTAGGCCAGCTTCAGCATACAGAAGTGGCCTCAGGAACAGGGCTGCCAGAGGGGGTCCTGGTAGCCCAGGACAAGTCCTGGAGGTGAGTGAAGAGTAGTTCCCGGCTTCTCTAGAGGTGCTGGCCTTTGTAGATGTATGAGAAGCAGCCCCTGAGGACAGGGGCAGAGCCACTCTGCGGTGGCACACCTCCCCTTAGGGCTGTACATCATCCAGGTAGGCCCCCTGTAGGAGGACAGTAGGTAGCTCTGGGGAACCTTGCTGCCAGCAGGTTTTTAGGTCAGGGAAAGGGGGTTTTGTGGTACTGCTTCCCAGGAGCCATTGTCGCCTAGCCTGCTCTGGCTGAAACTTTGGGTCTTTGCCTGAGCTTGTCTGGAGTAGGGCCAGGCCTAAATTAGCTGTTGTATTTCTGCCTCTCCTTCTTCCAGCCTCAACTTCCCCAGTTGGTGGCAAGGGGTTGCGAGTTGAGTCAGAGGCCAGGGCTCTGTGTTGTAGAGCCACTGAATCTGTCCTCACTGACTGCAGAATTTTCTCCTTGGATGAGTCAGGTACTGTCAGCCAGGAAAGCTTCCACAACTGCTTCACCCCATCAGCAGTGCTTTCTGCCTGGGTCCCAAGTGCTCTGTTTCCAGATCCAGCCATATGCCTCCCAACAGGGGCCTGTGTATTTTAGACCTTTTGGCTCTTCCTGCTTTGGAGAGGGGACTGGGCCCCAAGCAAAACTAGCTCCCTGCCCATTTGCCAGTCCTTCCCTGATTGCCCAGCCCAAAGGCAGTGCCTGGGGCTGGCAGAGACAGGGACACATTCCCCAAAGGCTCCTAGAGATCCACAGCCTTTCAGGGATAGAGGTGGGGGCCTAATTTGAATGAGAATTGGGTCTTTTCTGCCTGTGGGTTAGTCTGAATCCTGGCCCCACTAGCACCAGCACATTAGATAGCAGACCTGTAGAGAAGTTCTGCCTGCTTCTTGGTACCCCCTCCCCACCTTTATTCTGCATCTGATGGCTGCAGTTAATAGGGTGTGACCGCGCTTGGCTCCCAGGCTCTGGGGACCCCCTTTGCTCCTAGCCTCATCAAGGCTTCACTATCCTGCATGCTCCTTGTCTCTGGCAATCCTGCTTTCATCTACCATGTGACTGGGGCCACACCCAGCTCCGCAAGGGCAGTCTGCTTGGGGCCTGCTATTCATCCCCTCTCTCAGGTCTGATTCTAGCTCCCATGCATGGCTCAGGACCCCCAGCCTGGGGAGGCCTTCTTCAGTCTGCAGCTCCTTTCAGTTCTCCTGCTGCCACCAGTGAGTGAGAGGTTGGCTCTTTCCCTGAGAGCCATCCAGAAGGACAGAAGAAATCTCCAGGCCTCTTGTGGGGCAGAATGAGGTGGGGGCACCCTTAGGATCTCTATTCAGACACTGTCCTTCCCAGTGCAGGCTCCCAGAACAATTGAGGAGGTGCCAGACACACTTCCCCTACCTGGCTGCTCAAGTGGCAGCTACTACCCACCTACTAACAATTTGATTATTGGCCATGGCCAGAACTTTGTCCACCTGTGGCCTCTGAGCCCTCCTGCATTGTCAGTCACCTCCAGGTGGGGAGGAGAGTGAGGGCCCTGGAGATGGTATCTTTGGGTTTTCCTGGGCAGATTTGGCTTTGGGGGGGTTCAGATCATTGCTGGGAGAGGGAGGCCTGTGCTGTGAAATTTGGGGCCACTCACACCTCTTACAGGAATCTGAGAATTGCTTCTTATTTGACATTCGGGATCAGGGAGGCCATAGGATTGAGGCTGTGATCTGGAGTGGTTGTGGAAGCAACAAGACCTGGTGGCAAGCAGAGAGTGGTGACAGTACCTGTGTGCCCATGTGTGCAGCCCTAGTGTCAGTGCCCAGTCACTCTGATCGGCCCTTGTGGTTACAGGTGTTGAGAATGTCACCATCCAGCTGGACCTAGAAAGTGCCTTCTACTTTACCCACCTCATCATGACCCAGCCTAAAGGCTTGCCCTGTGCCTCCTGACACAACAGCCACCAGTGATGCTTACCTCTCATGACCCAAGGACCCCTTCTTGTCCTCAGACATTCTGCCTGGCACCTCTGCTCCTGGAGCGCTTAGTGGACCATGGCCACTCTTGGCATGTATGCTGATACTTGGCCTACAACTGCTCAGGCCTCTTTCCTGGGATCCATCCCACCCCTGGCCACAGAATCAGTGATCTTGTTTGTGACCAGCATTACTCCCAACATTAAGCCTTCCACTGAGGGCGAGGTCAACCCAGAGGAAGGGAGGTCAGGCCCTGGGGTGAAGCCAGAGGCTCAGGTTTGCTTCTTCCTTTCAGGTAATTTTCAAAGTTCTGCACCCAGCCATTCTGATGGAGAACCCACACAACCTCAGGACTCAGGGTACTCATCCCCACAGCCAGTCCTGTGCTCCTTCCACATCAGGACAGCCAGATACTGCAGGGAGGTGAGGTCCTGCTTGGGTGTGTACACCAGTGGGGTATGGTGGCAGGCAAGCCAGCTCCGTCTCCCAGCATCATTCCCCGGCTGTGTCCCATCATGGTCCTCTATTGTGGACCCTAATATGGCCCCCTTTCCAATCCCATCATTTCCCCCCATACCTATACCCAGTGTATAGGGACTGGCACAGGTAGCAGTTTCTATCTCTGCCCCATTGCAAGTCCTTTGTGGGACCCCATTGTGGTTCCCATCACTACTTTCTATGCCAGCTACCAACAATGTACCCCATTTCTGCACTTATCACTGTACCTTATAACTGTCCCTTTTATGAGCCTCCATCACAACCCCTATCCTGGTCACCCTGACTCATCACCCTGATGAGTCATCACCCTGATTCTTCACCCTAGCCTTACTTGGTGCCCCACATCTCTGCAGCTGCCTCTAGGTGGCGCCGGGGTGTCTCTGGGTTGTGACCTCTTGTAAAACAAGTCTTGAAAGACAAGACACATAACCATAACTCAGCAGGGCAACCCAGAGTCAGGCCAGGTGAGTACTAAAGTAGGACATACCCCAACCTGGCCTTTACTCTCCACCCACCTTGACTGTGGCTATTAACCAACTACTTCTCCTGAGCCCCGATGCTAGGTTCCCAAGCACGTCTTCCTTGCTCTTCTGATCAGAAGAGAGACACTCAGCAATGGGCAGTATAAGAGGTAACCTTGGTTCAGTAACTGACTTAACCTGTGGAGCAGAAAGTAGCCGTGGACCCGTCTGTCCCATGTGTACATTGAACAAGTGCCCATTGAGCTCCACTGTGTGCCAGACATCTATCCTCTGAGCAGTGTTAAGTGGGGAGCAGATAAACAAGGTATCTGTCTTCTTGGAGCTGCCATGAAAGTGAGAAAAACTTGATAAATAAGCAAACTAATACTCTAAGTGGTTTGGCTGGATGATAACTGATTTCTAGTTTTGATGATGGACTGGGGGATGGAATGGTTTGCTGCAATGGGGAAGCAGTTTTCAACTATTTAGTAATGCGAGGATGGGGTATCCGGGAAGAGGTGGGATGTGCAGGTCTCACCTCAGGAGTGATATCAGGGCTGGAGTAGTACAGAAGTAGAATCACCACCATTAGGCTGTGGTCATCCTAAGATGGTATGCCCAGAGGACCAACTATGAGGGAGTCCCACAGCATGAATGCTGGAGGAGGTGGCTATATTGATGTAGAGAGAGGAGAAACCCTATTCCTATTCCTTCCCCTTCCATCCCAGCTACAGAGGAATGACGACCAGTGCACCTGAGGTCCCCCAGTCTGTGTCTCCAGAGCTCCTGCATGTGATAAATCTCTGTGTGAACTCCAGATTGCACACATCGGGTGATAGGCTGCTGGGGGAGCCTAAAGGAACACCCCTTCTACTATTATGCCCTTTCAGAGCTCGTGGCCAGAGGCAGCTGCCTATGCCATGGCCATGCCTCTGAGTACAGGCCCACAGCTGGGACCCCAGCCAACATGAAAGGCATGGTAAGCACCATGGGAGAGGCATCCTGTGGCCAATGGGGGTGGGCAAGCTGGGGGACTGGGACAGACTCATCTTGGCTTCCTCTCTGCCAGGTGCATGGCCTTTGTTTCTGCCACCATCACACAGCTGGTACCCACTGTGAGCACTGGCAGGACCTGTACTAGGACCACCTATGGCATGCAGCAGAGCCCAGGCACCCCCACACCTGGCAGGATAGGTGCCATGCCCTTTGTGCCTGGCCATAATTGCCTAAGTCAGCCTACTCCATATCCATCTTCCTTGTTCTGCCCCAGAATGCGAGTGTAATAGACATGCCCACAGTTGTCACTTTGACATAGCCCTGTATCTGGCATCTGGCAATGTGAGTGGAGGCATATTGACTCATGTCAGCCCAACACAGCTGGGTGCCACTGTGAGCTCTGCCAGCCCTTCCACCGAGATCCCCAGGAGGATCCCCTTTCCCTTCACTCTTGCAAACGTGAGGCTTCCAATCACAAATCCCACCTCTGAGTGATCCTTCAGCTCCATGGTGACCTCTGACCTAACTCTGTCCTCACTTCTGACCCATGATTCAGCCTGTGACTGTGACCCTGTGGCTACTCTGCAAGGGGGTTTGTGTGATGCCCACACAGAGACCTGTGGCCTCCTCTCTGGGCAGTGTTACTGCAGAGTTTGTGTCAGCCCAGTGCTGTGACTTCTGCCAGCCTGGTCACTGTCACTGGTCACTAAGCCTCACCCAGGCAGAAGGTTGTCAGTGTGAGGTACCCTGAGAGTAGACCCAACCCCCATGTCCTTGCTCTGCCCCCAATCACTGCTGTAGTAATACATGCATGTACATATCACTTCAGCAATTCCAATAGCACCCTGAGAGCCCTGTGTCCTATCTCACAGTTGCTACCTCGGAGGCCAGATCCCTGGCACTCTGTGATACCCCCAGCAGTGCCTGTCACTGCAAATGCTTTGTCTCTGGATGGGACCACAGACTTTGTCTGGTAAGCTTTGCCCCACCTTTTGATTTTACCTTGATTTTTGGGCACTAAGCTTCTAGAAGCTGACAAGTATAAGGATATAATCCGGGTGACTGTAGACTGAGCCTTGCACATGGGTTGGTTCTACTCCTTGATCTGGTTACCAGGGTCAACACCACCTCAGCTCGCTGAACCAGCATATGTCCTCAGGTGGGAGCTTTGGGAACATAAAAGGAAAAGCGATGAAGCAAGTTACAACATACTGTGCACTGGGTTTAAAGGTGTTTCGCAACAAACATATTTGGAGGGAGACTCAGTCCAAGAAAGAATTCCATCCCCTTCTCGCCTCTCCTTGAACATAAATCCTTTAACTTTTACTTTAACCTCTGCAGTATCCTTATCTTACCTCTTATGAAGCTGTGCAGGAGTATACTGAGGTCTCCTCATCCCCTCTCAACTGCAGCCAGAGGAGCATTGAAGCCCTGTGTTCACTCCTTTACTCCTGCAACAGGTAGTCCCAGTATATGACCTCCTAGGCCCCAGATCTTCCTGTCCTTTCTCCACCTACTTGCTCTCTCTTACAGCCTGAGTTCTGGAATCCGAGTGGTGACTCTTTAGGCTGCCGGCCTGTGACTATGCCTACGGCAATGGGTACAAGGTAGGGCCTGGGAGTTGGGATCAAGCGATAAGAGTCAGGAGTTGACTCTCTTTCCCTGCCCCCATGCTACCTCAGGTGTTCTGCTGGGGAGGGCCTCTGCCTGTGCCAGCCCCACCTCCATGGCTGCCATGAACTCCAATCTGGGCATTTCTGAGCCGCCCTTGACCAAACCACTGCTTAAGCTGAGCTTGGCCAGGGCCTCTAGCCAGCTGACCCCCTGTTGCCTATGAGTGTCCAGGAGGAGCAGGAGCAGGAGCAAGAGAAAACCAAGGCTCAGATTTGGTTTTCAGGGGAGGGAGGGAATCTGTAGAGAGGACTAGTTGGAACAAGAGGCTGGGCTGGCTTACGAAGGTGAGAAAGTCCAAGTGGGAGCGTCAGCAGGGTCAGAGGTTTGGTGTTTTAGAGCCCATATTTTCAGGGCAATGTGGGAGAGGAGAAGCCCAGAATGTTGGAGAACACTGACACTCGACTTGCCTCCAGGAAGCCCCCTAGCCTGCTCCTTCCCACTGTACACAGGTCTCAGGGGCCTCTCCTAGTTGGCCCTGGCCCCGACTTTGGAGACAACATGACCTTCCATGTGCCCGCCAACCTGATGGCAAGCCTATTACAGCAGCCAATTGCCCAAGGTGAGGAGTCTGAGAAACAGGGTGGGGTCATAGGACACTGGGGCCTTAGTAGGGATGGGGTCCCTGGGGTCTTCGGTTAATGGGAACCTAAGTCCTAAGGGTCCAGGTCTTGGGGTGGTCTGGGCCTATGAGTCTGTATCTTGTATCCAGGCCCCAGAGGAACCCCTGTCCCTGCAGTAGGGAGCTGACTCTGTACTATGGCCTGGCTTGGACTTTGCACACATGGTTGGTTGACTGGGCTGGCCTCTCTCTGCTGACACCCATAGTGCCTCATGCTATGGAGTATGACATTGTCCTGTGCTATAAGACTAAGGTCAGTGACATAGGTGCCAAGCAGGTGGATAGATGATGTTGGGTGGTGGGCAGGGGCAGCTCTATAACTGCTGACCCCTAACGCTAGGCACCTGAAGATTGGCAGGGATTAGTCTGTTCATGCCCAATCCCTTCCCAGCAGCACCTGCTGTGCCCATCTGTGCTCAGAGCAGCTGGTCCAGGTGGCCTTGACCCATGCACAGAAGTAGGCAGGACCCTATGACCTCCCAATATCAAGACCTTATTATGTTGCTAACACATGTGAAATAACCCCCAAAGTGGAAAGTCTCCAATATGGAATGTCATTATGTCATAGAGCAATTAAAACAGGGACTGAATATAAAACAGAGCAGGATTTAAGAAGGTGGTCTTTTTGCATGGGTCGTATGATGAAACACTGGATGCAACAGAAATGGGACACAACACTGGGACCAATTGATCATGACCTCATTATCCTACCCCCCTACTCCTTCTCTGCTTACTGCAGCGCTATGGTTTTATCCAGACCTTTCTGCTTTGAACCGGGAACATGCTACTCTGTGATCCTGTGGCTATGGAGGACCAAGGGGGTGCAGAGACCTTGAGGGGGGGCACTGTCCTTCTGGATTTGGTGAGGTCCTAGGGGCTCGACCCCACATCTAGGGAAGACAATTTATAGCAGGATACAATGGTGGGGCTGGGGAGTAGGTGTCTGGAGACCTGAAGATCAAGACAGGTGGATAGTGTAGGGAGGGAGGTCCAGGCAGGAGCAAAGCGTATGCCAAGGATAGAAGGTGAGAACAGGCAGCCGCCAGATCTAAAAAGACCTTGTGGGCCATGAGAAGGACTTAACCTTTATTGTGGGGCACTGGGGAGCAGTGGAAGGGGTTTGAACAGGGAAGATTCATGGGGGAGAATGGATTGTTAGGGGAGGCTGCTGCAGTGATTCTGAATGAGAGGTGGCATTGCCTGGACTAGATTGGAGCCATTGGAAAGGAAGAAGAAACAGACTCAAATGAGAAACAGGAAAGGGGCAAGAAGGGGCTCTGAGGTCCACTGTGAAGAAAAGTAGTTAGTAGGTATGAGCGAGTAGGGCTGGGATCACTGTCTTCTGCCTGCTGCCCTCCACCCACCTACTAGATTGTGCTATTGCTGTGGGTGAAGGAATTGCCTGGGCTGAGATCTGTGGACACTGTGGCCACAGGGCACCTCAGGAGCTCCATAAGGCAGGCTACATGGAGGCAGCAAGGACAGTCCTCTCCATGCCTGAGGTTTGTGTCGACCTTGTCTGAAGCATCTCGCCCTGCTCCATGGGGGTGGTCTTGGTGAGTATGTGCCCCTGGCTTAAAGGGGCTGTAAGATAGGGGTTGCAGGAAGCACCACAAGGTTCATCTTATCTTGTTCTTTCTCCTACCAGCATGTGAGTGCCACCCCCCAGGATTCACTGAGTACTGAGTGTGCCCTGCTAGGTGGCAGTACCCTTGCCATCCTAATATCATTGGTCGTACCTGTGACCACTGTGTGTCTGGAATGTATGGCTTCAGACCCACTGGTTGCAGTGGTAATCCTTTATAGGGCCAGTGAGTATGGGTGTGGGCTCTGGGACCAACCATCTCCCTCCTTTGCATGGCATGTGTGCCCTGTCATTCCCCAGAGAGTGCCATTGCCACACTGAGGGTGCCAGTGGTGCCATTTGTAACCCTGTGAATGAGCAGTGCACATCCCAGGCTGGACTTGCTGGTCACCGCTGGGACCACTGCCTCTCTGGCCAATGGGACTTCCCATACTGCCAGCCCTGTGCCTGCAATGGGCATACTGAGTTGTGCCACCCACTTACAGGCATTTGCCAGGCTTGCCATGGAGCCACCACAGG